CGTCGAAAAGGGGGTCCTTTGCATATAATTTTTACGAAGCTTGCAATGTTTTCCAATTTTGCAATGGAGAAGATGAGCATTTTGCTAGAAAACCTTTCTTAAGGTCGAAATTCGTCGAAAAGAGGGCCGTTTGCATATAATTTTTACGACGCTTGCAATGTTTTCCAACTTTTCAACAGAGAAGACGGGCATTTTGCTAGAAAATCTTTTCTCGGTGTCAAAATTCGTCGAAAAGGGGGCCGTTTGCAAATAATTTTTACGAAGCTTGCAATGTTTTCCAATTTTGCAATGGAGAAGATGAGCATTTTGCTAGAAAACCTTTCTTGAGGTCGAAATTCGTCGAAAAGGGGGTCCTTTGCATACAATTTTTACGAAGCTTGCAATGTTTTCCAATTTTTCAACAGAGAAAACAGGCATTTTTTTAGAAAATCTTTTCACGGTGTCAAAATTCGTCGAAAAGGGGGCCGTTTGCATATAATTTTTACGAAGCTTGCAATGTTTTCCAATTTTTCAACAGAGAAAACAGGCATTTTTTTAGAAATTCTTTTCTCGGTGTCAAAATTCGTCAAAAAGGGGGCCGTTTGCATATAATTTTTACGACGCTTGCAATGTTTTCCAATTTTTCAAAAGAGAAGACAGGCATTTGGCTAGAAAATCTGTCTGAGGGTCAAAATTTCTCGAAAATTCGACCATCTGCATATAATTTTTACGAAGTTTGCAATTTTTTCTAATTTTTCAATGGAGAAGATGAGCATTTTGCTAGAAAACCTTTCTTTAGTTCGAAATTTGTCAAAAAGGGGGCCGTTTGCATATAATTTTTACAAAGCTTGCAATGTTTTCCAATTTTTCAACAGAGAAGACAGGCATTTTGCTAGAAAATCTGTCTGAGGGTCAAAATTTGTCGAAAATTGGACCATTTGCATATAATTTTTAGGAAGTTTGCAATGTTTTCTAATTTTTTAACAGAGAAGACGGGCATTTTGCTAGAAAAACTTTTCTCGGTGTCAAAACTCGTCCAAAAGAGGGCCGTTTGCATATAATTTTTACGAATCTTGCAATGTTTTCTAATTTTTCAAAGGAGAACATGACCATTTTGCTTGAAAACCTTTCTTAAGGTCGAAATTCGTCCAATTGGGGACGTTTGCATATTATCTTCACGGAGTTTGCAATGTTTTCCAATTTTTTAACAGAGAAGACAGGCATTTTGCTAGAAAAACTTTGCTCGGTGTCAAAACTCGTCGAAAAGAGGGCCGTTTGTATATAGCTTTTACAAATCTTGCAATGTTTTCCAAATTTTCAACAGAGAAGACAGGCATTTTTTTAAAAAATTTTTCTCGGTGTCAAAACTCGTCGAAAAGGGGGTCCTTTGCATATGATTTTTACGAAGCTTGCCATTGTTTTCCAATTTTGCAAAGGAGAAGATGAGCATTTTGCTAGAAAACCTTTCTTTAGTTCGAAATTTGTCGAAAAGGGGACCGTTTGCATATAATTTTTACAAAGCTTGCAATGTTTTCCAATTTTTCAATGGAGAAGATGAGCATTTTGCTAGAAAACCTTTCTTAAGGTCGACATTCGTTGAAAAGGGGGCCGTTTGCATATAATTTTTACGAAGTTTGCAATTTTTTCTAATTTTTTAACAGAGAAGACGGGCATTTTGCTAGAAAATCTTTTCACGATGTCTAAATTCGTCGAAAAGGGAGTTGTTTGCATATAATTTTTACGAAGCTTACCCTGTTTTCCAATTTTTCAATGGAGAAGATGAGCATTTTGCTAGAAAACCTTTCTTAAGGTCGAAATTCTTCGAAAAGGGGGTCCTTTGCATATAATTTTTACAAAGCTTGCAATGTTTTCCAAATTTTCAACAGAGAAGACAGGCATTTTGCTAGAAAATCTTTTCTCAGTGTCAAAATTCGTTGAAAAGGGAGCCGTTTGAGTATAATTTTTACGAAGTTTGCAATGTTTTCCAATTTCTCAATAGAGAAGATGAGCATTTTGCTAGAAAACCCTTCTTAAGGTCGACATTTGTCGAAAAGGGGGCCGTTTGCATATAATTTTTACAAAGCTTGCAATGTTTTCCAATTTTTCAACAAAGAAGACAGGCATTTTGCTAGAAAATCTGTTTGAGGATCAAAATTTGTCGAAAATTGGACCATTTGCATATTATCTTCACGGAGTTTGCAATGTTTTCCAATTTTTCAACAAAGAAGACAGGCATTTTGCTAGAGAAACTTTTCTCAGTGTCAAAACTCGTCGAAAAGAGGGCCGTTTGCATACACGCTTTTTTTTTTATAAGGAACCTAGCTCGGGCCTAGTTCTTTAAATTCCTTATTTTGAGACCTGTTTTGACCACTTTGTAGTTCTAAAAGTTCCTTAATAGTTCCTTAATTTTAAGTTGGCATTTAGTGGACAATAATTAGTACAGACGCAAGAAAAACAATCAAATTCAGCGTTTTGCTATAAACTTAAGAAAAGATAACAAGTTAAAACACAAAGAAGCTTCATATAATATAAAATTAATAATAATAGTCATTAAAGAAGTTGCCTATCCACTCCATTGATGTCGTCTGACACAATGTAGTCTTCAGTACCGTCTTCGAAAAGAACTCTAAACTCTCCCAGCTTGGTGTTGAACCACTTCACTTGTCCAGTGTGCCATTCGTCGTAGAATGCGCGTATTTTTTTAATAATCAACTCATGTTCGTAGACACGATCTTTTACATGGTCTACTCTTTCATGCTCAAGCTCGTCAGGCTCAAGTTCTTCATCCCCTTCATCTTCTTCATCACTTACATCTTCCTCACAGGCTGCTGAGGCCTCTGGTATTTGTACAGACAGTGGATTTTCGGGGCCAGTCACAGGCAATGGTGGTGGTATTGAGTACCCAATCAGACCTTCAGGCTGAATTTTCTTGTCCTCCGACCCATCAGCCGTTATTAAGCAGCCTGTCTTTTCAAAGCATCTGTACCGTGATGAGGCATAGCTCTCACTGGAAAGCCTATTGTATGCCTCACCAACCCAGTGTGTAATTAGAATTCTTCGCTTCTTGACATCCAGTTTTTCAACACTGTTCCCAAGCCAAAGATCTATATTTTCGTCACTTTGCAGCCACTCATCTTGGAGGGTTCGAACCAAAGACTTCAGCATGTTTCCAAAGCCACAATCTACAGGTTGCCAGATGTCTGTCGCACCGGCCAAACCGAACCAAACAACACCATTTAATTTTCTGACCTTACTCAGAAACAGATCATTAGTTTGCGCACTTAAGTTGTCGCAGAAAAGAACGAATTCTTCATTTTCACCTGTTTCGGAAGAATTTTGGACAGCTGGTTTCAGAGTTCTCTTCACCCAGTCGATGCTGAAATTGATGTCTGCCCAGGCGTTTGTCTGCCAGTAAACATCCACGTCTTTGTGGTATGCCTGTATTTCATCCTGGCTGATTCTTTTCCCTGTTCCACGGAAAATAATTGCAATTTTGACTGGCGGTCCTTCGGCTGCAAAGCAGATTTGTAACGTGCACTGCCGCTTATCAAGTCCCGGTCCCGGTGTGCTGAAAAAGAATTAAAGATAGCAATTTTAGAAGGAGTGGACAAATGAGCAGCCCCCCAATTTTTATAATATTTCCAAATTAATTTTTTAAAAGGCCCAGTCTGGAAAGAGTTTAAACAAAAAGCAGAAAGCGGTTTACCTGACCCAGGTTCGATGGTTTCTTTGTTCTCCGCGCGGAAAGTGTTTTTCGTATGTTGTTTTACAATCGACCGCAAACGGCATAGGAAC